AGCTTGATGGCGGCGGCGCCGGCAGCTGCCGCAGCCGCCGCCGCGGCGGCGGCAGCCTCCAGCGCCAACGCCCTCACAAGCGCCGCCGCCTGGCGGAAGAAACCCGCCACACTGGCGGCGCTTGCCGTACTGCAGGCCGAGCACGGGCGTCTCATCCAGGCCTCCACGCATGCGGCCATGGCGCTGTCGTGCATTCCGGGCCTTACTTTGGTGCGGCCGCCGGTGAATGCACAGGACAAAAGCACCGACGGCGACGGCGATCCGTACGACCACAGCGGCCGCGACGGCAGCCGTCACGACTACCTAAGCAACCATGGCGGGCTCGGCGGCGGCGGCGGCGGCGGCAGTCACAATTATCATCACAGTTTTCACCATAGTCACAGTACGGTTGGCGGCGGCGCTGCCGGCGGCGGTGGCGGCGGCGGCGGCGGCCGGCAACGTTCGGTCAGCCCCCCGGGAGTCCATACCTTCCCGTCGATGCGCACCCGGCACGGGGCGTACGACAACGGTGGCGGAGGCGGAGGCGGCGGAGGCAATGGTGGTGATCATGACCGGAAGAGTGGCGGCGGGCAGGTCCGCGGCGGCGGCGGGGGTGGCGGTGGCGGCACCAGCAACGGCGGCGTTGGTGGTGGTGGTATGGCATCATCATCGCCGTCGTCGTCGCCGCCGCCAGCGCCTGGTGAAATCGCGTGGAAGGGCAGTTACTGGGAGCTCACATCGCCTCAGAATATTCCCGCAGGTACGGTAGTCAGTGCTGTACGGCATTGCAATTAACTAAAACCGACCTACTGCAGATGTTCAAGATGGGGCATGCTGGCTTTTGCAAGTTCACTCGGGCATTTCTCAGCCTTCTCCATTTCATGTTTTTGTGAAGTTTTCTTCTTCCGCCTTCTCCCACCCACGCACCCACCCAGGTGTACTGCACTGCTCGTACGCTACCCGCCTGCTCACCCCGCGGACCCCATCCACAAAATCCGTACCGTCGACCCGTCCCGATTAGTACAGTCGTACACGTCCACACACACACACGCTCCACATTCCTGTTTGACTCTTATGCTCATATGCTCTATGCATGTAACGCCTCCGCCCCCATTCCTTTCCAAGCCCCATGATGGAGCTCCCCCCAATCCGTTTTCACAATAGGCTTCAGTGTTACGGTGTTGGGGTTAAATCGTGCTCTACCCTAAAACCCTAAAACCCCACTCCCTCCTTTTGACTTCACTCCCTTTTCCCTCGCCCCCTTTTCCCTCGCCCGCCTGCCTCTCCCTTCCAAACGCATATACATACACGCACACATACACACACGTTCAGACGGGGCAAGAGCTATTTTCATGGCCTCTCTTGTGGAGGCAACTTGTGGCAGGTAGGGGGGGGGAGATAGGAAAGGGGAGGGGGACAGTGTTTTTTTTTTCATTTCTGCCGGTTAATTTTCCAGTCCGAACGTAGGAATAGGTTTTTAGTCGCGGGAATAAAGGTATTCCGAATCTGTAAGGCGCTGG